AATAGGCGTCGTACGTAGATCGGGAAGAGACAACGGGTTTACGGCGGTCATATGCGCGAGGATCGGAGTACCCAGGTGGATCTCGCCGGGGAAGAAGCCGATCTCTGACTCGACGTCTGAAGCTACCCTTGTTTGACGGTGAGAACGCCGATAGCTGGGTGTTGAAGGTTGAGCAGTTCTTCGAAGTCGGAGACTACTCAAGGAGGAGAAGCTTCGTCACATTCGAACGTGTTTCGGCGGAGACGCACTTTTGTGGTACCGTTGGGAGCGCGATCGTAACCCTTTTCGAAGCTGGCATCAGATGAAGACGAGGGTACTGGAGCAGTACTCGGCGATGCGAGATACAACGGCTGGTGAGAGGCTTTTGATGTTGAAACAGACGGGGAACGTGCGTGACTTTAACTGTGATTTCAAGTCATTGGCCATGAACACTCCGGAGTTGACGGAGGATGTTTTAGAGCTCGCATACACCATCGGTCTGAAGTCTAAGATTCGCGCGGGGTTGAAGATGTTTGAACCGCGGAGGTTGCAGAAGATGATGGATACGGCGGCTAAGGTGGAGGACTGGACCGGAGAGGAAGAGGCCCCTCCGACTAAGGGAATCAAGCCCAATACGGGGGGACAGCCCAATAGCGCCACTACCACTAAGCCCACTAACATTGGGGTTGGAGTGCAACAAAACTGGCCCAAGCCCAACTTGGTTAGTTCTAACTCAAATCAGAAGGGGATGATGGGGAAGACGACGACATATCACGGAAGGCTCAAACCTCCGTTCCGTCGCCTGACACCGGAGGAAGTCGCACAGCGAAAGGCAGAAGGGATGTGTTTCAAATGTGACGAGAAATTTCACCGGAATCACCAGTGTGCCAAACCGGAGCTGACGGTTTTGTTGATTCTCGAAAATGGTGACGAGACAGAGTTGCTAGAGGAACCGTGTGAGCTCGAGGAGGAGGTTAAAGAAGTGGAAGCGGTGACGGCGGAGGTCTCTATAAGCTCGGTCGTGAGGCTCACATCTCCGCGAACCATGAAACTGAAGGGGAAGATTGATGAGGAAGAGGTGGTGGTGCTCATCGATAGTGGGGCCTCCCACAACTTCATTTCAGAAGGGTTACTGAAGCGATTAGGTTGGAAGGCAAGTCAAACCGGTCGCTATGGGGTGCTGGTTGCTGGTGGCGTGAGCGTGCAAGGAAAGGAAGTTGTGGAGGGAGTAGAGTTAAGGCTTCCTACCTGCACTATATGCACCAGTTTCCTACCTCTGGAGTTAGGCATTGCGGACGTGATTTTGGGCGTTCAATGGCTGGATACACTGGGTGAGATGAGGGTCAATGGAAGTTACAGTGGCTTAAGATATGGTTACAAGGAGAGTGGGTTACCATACAGAGAGACCTCAGTTTACACTCCGCTGCAGTCTCACTGAAGTCACTGCTGAAGGCTTTGAAGAATGATGGGGAAGGTATCTTGGTTGAATACGGGGGCATTCAAAAGGAGGAGGAGCCCATTGTGTGGGAAAAACATGGAGAGTGGAGTGGAGTATTAGAGCAGTATGCTCATGTCTTTGCAGAGCCAGAAGGTTTACCTCCTTCAAGGGGCAAAGAGCATGAGATAATACTTGAAGATGGAGCTAAACCACTGAGTGTTAGGCCTTTTTGCTATCCTCAAGCTCAAAAGGCTGAGATCGAGAGACAGATCACATCAATGATGTCTGCGGGTATCATCCAAGAGAGCGGAAGTCCCTTCTCGAGCCCCGTTTTGTTGGTGAAGAAAAAAGACGATAGCTGGCGTTTCTGCGTGGATTATAGGGCATTGAATCGAGTCACGGTGCCAGACAAGTTTCCCATCCCTATGATCGACTAGTTTCTGGATGAGCTACATGGAGCCAAGGTGTACTCGAAGTTGGATTTGCGCTCTGATTACCATCAAATCTTGGTCAAGAAGTCGGATGTTGCCAAGACCGCATTCAGAACTCACGACGGCCATTATGAGTTTCGGGTCATGCCTTTTGGTCTCTCGAATGCACCTGCTACATTTCAATCCTTAATGAATCAGGTGTTTAGACCTTACCTCCGGCGCTTTGTATTGGTGTTTTTCGATGACATTTTAGTCTACAGACGGACCATTGAAGAGCATCAAGAGCACTTGAAGTTGGTGCTGCAGGTTCTAAGCGAGCAAAAACTGTACGCCAACTACAAGAAGTGTCAGTTTGGTAGTCCACAAGTGGAGTATCTTGGTCACGTCATCTCGGAGAAAGGTGTGGCTGTTGATAGTGAAAAGAACAAAGCGATGTTGGATTGGCCTGTTCCTAAAACAGTTAAGGAGCTGAGAGGGTTCTTGGGCTTGACGGGGTATTACCAAAAATTTGTGAAGGGATATGGTAGCATTGCAAGACCTCTGACTGCTCTGTTGAAGAAAGACCAGTTCAAATGGGATACTGAAGCTGAGGCAGCATTTCGAAAATTACAACAAGCCATGACTACGGTACCGGTATTGGCTATGCCGAATTTTGATGCTTTATTCATTGTGGAGTCTGATGCACCAGGAACAAGACTCGGGGCGGTGTTAATTCAAGGGCAACAACCAATCGCCTTCTTCAGTCAGGCCCTTACTGATCGTCAAAAGCTGAAATCTGTGTATGAGCGAGAGCTAATGGCGATAGTGTTTGCCATTCAGAAATGGAGGCACTATCTGATCGGGAGGAAGTTCGTGGTAAGGACTGATCAGAAGAGCTTAAGGTTCTTAATGGAGCAACGCGAGGTGAACCTGGAGTACCAGCGCTGGATGACGAAATTATTGGAGTTCGATTTTGATATAGTGTACAAGCCGGGGCTCGATAACAAAGCAGCAGACGCACTGTCAAGAAAGGTGGAGGTCAGTGAGTTGTATGCAATATCAGTCTCAGCGGCTCTACAGTTGGAGGAAATTGCTAGTGAAGTGGATAAAGATGGAGAGTTACAAACGATAATTCAAAACTTGAATCGGGACCCATGATCACAAGAAGGATTTGCGGTAGTGAATGGGAGGTTACTACGTAACGGGAAGCTGGTGGTACCTAAGAGTTCTACGTGTGTGGGTTTGATACTCCAAGAGTACCACGATAGCAAGCTAGGAGGTCATGGTGGGGTTTTGAGGACTCAAAAGCATATCAGCGAGGTGTTCTATTGGCAGGGAATGTTAGCTGATATAAGGAAGTACATGGCTGCGTGTCCGGTGTGTCAGAGACAGAAATACTCTACTCTGGCTCCGGGAGGTCTCTTACAGCCACTACCAATTCCTGATAAGGTGTGGGAAGACTTGTCAATGGATTTTGTGGAAGGGCTGTCACGGTCCAAAGGAAAGAATGTTGTAATGGTGGTGGTGGATCGTTTAACTCGATATAGTCACTTCATCGGGTTAAGCCATCCCTTCTCAGCTACCGACGTCGCCTTACTTTTCACTCAGGAAGTGATCAAGCATCACGGATTTCTGCGCACCATCGTATCTGATCGCGACAAAGTGTTCACCAGTTTATTCTGGAAGGAGCTATTCAAATTGGCGGGGACCAAGCTGTGTTTCAGTACTGCATATCATCCGCAGTCTGATGGCCAGACCGAGGTGACCAACCGGGGAATGGAGACCTATTTGAGGTGTTTTGCAGGAGACAAACCTACGACGTGGTTCACTTACTGGGCTTGGGCAGAGCTGAGCTATAACTCGTCCTTCCATTCGACCTTACAGACCACACCATTCAGGGGTTTGTATAGACGGGATCCTCCGTCTTTGGTTAAGTATGAGAGTGGGTCCACTGGGAATGCCGAGTTGGAAGAGCAGCTGAAGGATAGGGACGCCATTTTACAGTTTCTAAAGGAGCATCTACATCGTGCTCAACAGATCATGAAGCAAAGGGCTGATAAGAGCAAAAGAGAGGTTGAGTTTGACGTGGGTGAAAGGGTCTATGTGAAGCTCAGGCCTTACCGGCAGCAAACGTTAGCAAAAGAGCAAATGAGAAGTTATTAGCAAGGTTATATGGTCCGTATGAAGTTGAAGCGAGAGTAGGACCGGTTGCGTATCGACTCAAGCTGCCAGAGGGAACAAAGATACACCCTACGTTCCATGTTTCGCAGTTGAAGAAGGCTTTGGGTGATTCAGTTGAGCAGGCTCCCCTGCCACCAAGCCTCACGAGTGAAGGAGTGTTGTTGGCAGAACCAGAAAAGGTTGTTGAGACAAAGATTCATGAAGTGACTGGTCAGAAGGAGCTGTTGATCAAGTGGAAGGGGTTACCAGTTCACGACTGTACTTGGGAGTGGACCTCATCTATCAAAGAGAAATTTCCTGAGTTTGACCTTGAGGATAAGGTCAATTTCAATGGAGGGGGTATTGATACGTACGTGGCAGAGAGACCTCAGATTCTCTTCCAGTACAAAAGGAATGGTAAAACGGCTGATAAGTAAGACGGTCACAAGTGTCACAAATCGAGAGGAGGGCGTGGAGAATAAAGAATAAAAGACAGGACAGCAGGAGGGTGTTGGTAGCACATGGCTTGTCGCTTGGAGAGAGGGAGAGTGAGACCACGTGAGGTCGTTTGTTATTTATTGAGTCATCAAGTCTGTTTTAGAGTATCAAGTTGTTGATCATTGTCAAGGGGAGAGAGAGAAACTCCTGAGAAAAACCCACTTGTACCTCTAAATGATCAATAACATCCGGTACTTATTTCAGTAAATTACAGAGTTCTTTTGAATCAACACCTAAATCATATCATAATGCAAGTTGTGTTTTTTTTTGTGCACTTACGAGCCGAGTGTATTTAAAAAAGTAACTAGATATTTAGATATAGTAATCAATTTTTTTTTGTCAACGTATAGTAATCAAAATACTCTCTATTAATTAACTGACTGTGGACAAAAACAATAATATGATGAACAATTATTATAAATAAACACAATAATAGAAATAAATTAAAATGCGTCGACATTTCTTCAGTTGAATCTTCTTCCTGTGTTGTGGAGGTCTTCGTTTTATTAAATCAGTCCAAAAAGCCACAAAAGATAAAGGCAAATTGTGAAGAGAGAAAAAGACACAGACTTTCCAGGAAAATTTGTGTTCCTTCTTCTTACACAATCTGTTCTTTACTACCAAACTCACTCTCTTGTCCAGATTTGTCTTAAATATCTCTCCTTTATGAATCTTTACTAACTTCCCACTTCAAAAGTCTCAACCTTTCTTCCATTTTTAGGTCTTTGAATGCTTCTCTGAGAATTAGGGTTTTAAAGATTGTTTCTTTTAGGGCTTTAAGCTTAATCTAAGATGGGAGAGTTTGAGGTAGATAGAGAAGAGAAGTTGATTGCTTCCGCAAACTATCTTGTTAATGAGCTTAGATCTGGTAAGAGCCTCACCAGAAACGCTAAAAACGTTTTAGGGAACCTCTTAACAGAGCTGTCTCGTTTAGTGTTAATCTCTGATGATAGATACGAGGAAGATGAGATTGAGACAAGGCTTGATATTGTCTGTGAGAAGATCATGACACGTGAGGTAGATGAAACCATGATTTGGGACTTGGGTTCAGAAGCAGGGAATGAGTTTTTAGATTCTGTGAATGAGCTGAGAGTGTTGATAGATCGGTTAGAGGAAGCAGATGAGGTGTCTCTGAGGAAAGGGCATGATGTTCTTCAGACAGCAATGGCGAGGTTAGAGGATGAGTTTAAGCATCTTCTTGTGGAGAATAGGTTACCCTTTGAGCTTGAACACGCTTCCTTTAGGTCTGAACATGTCGTGGAAGAAGACTCTTTTGGAGCTGCTTCCACTGAGGATTTGGTTGTAGGAAGCAGTAGGAGAAACTCAGAGGAGATAATGGTTAGACCTGAGGTTATATCAGATCTTAGGAGCATTGCAAACACTATGGTTGCTTCAGGGTATGACCGTGAGTGTCTCCAGGTGTGTACTATGGTTAGAAAAGAGGCTCTTGACGAGTTTCTTTATGACCATGAGGTTGAGAAGTTGAGTATTGAAGCTGTGTTGAAGATGGATTGGGCTACATTGAATACAAACATCAAGAAATGGGTTCTTGTAATGAGAAACATCGTGCAGATGTATCTCGTTAGCGAGAAGTCTCTGCACAATCAGATCTTTGGGGATGTTCTGACCTGTTTTGTGGATACAGTGAAGGCTCCTGTGATGCAGCTGCTCAACTTCGGTGAAGCTGTGTCTCTCGGTCCACGACAACCCGAAAAGTTGCTTAGGATTCTCGAAATGTATGAGCTAGCTTCCGAGCTTTTACCAGAGATTGATGCACTCTTCTCAGGTAATCACGGTGACTCGGTGAGAGGAGAGTACAGAGAAGTGATGAGGAGGCTTGGTGACTGCGCAAGAGCGACGTTTCTTGAGTTCAAAAGTGCTATAGCTTCTGATGTTTCTTCACATCCTTTCCCTGGAGGAGCTGTTCACCCGCTTACTAACTATGTGATGAACTACCTCATGGCGTTAACAGACTTCAGCCAAACGCTTGACTCACTTCTCATGGAACATGATGATGTAGATGATCTCACAATACCTCCATCACCGGATGTTATCAACCCTGTGGTGGTTGAAGAAGAGTCTACTTACGAAAACTCTTCTTCACCGGAGAAGTTCTTGGCTATGACTAAGCATTTCTACTCCATAACATCTGTTCTTGAAGCTAATCTTGAAGAGAAAGCGAAGTTGTACAGAGACGTCTCTCTGAGACACATCTTTTTACTGAACAACATACACTACATGACAAGGAAAGTGTTAAAGTCCGAGCTGAAACATATCTTTGGCGACAAGTGGAACAGAAAACACACATGGAAGTTTCAGCAGCAAGCAACGGAGTACGAACGCTCCACCTGGCTCCCTGTCCTTTCCTTCCTCAAGGATGACTCTGGCTCAGGGTCTGGTTCTGGTTCAAGAGGCTTGCGCCCGAGGGAGCGGTTTCAAGGATTCAACTCTGCGTTTGAGGAAGTGTACAAGGCGCAAACGGGTTGGTTAATCTCTGATGAGAGGCTGAGAGAAGATGTGAGGACAAAGGCGTCCATGTGGGTGATTCAAGCGTACTGGACGTTTTATAGTAGACACAAGAACAGTGTGAGTGAGAGGTATATTAAGTACAGTACTGATGATCTTGAGAAGCTTTTGTTGGATCTCTTTGCTGGTTCTTCTAAATCCTTGAACAATTCTTACAGAAGATGAAATGGATCATCAGATGAGTAAACTGTTTATGTTATTGGTATACACATGTTTGTATTGAATTTATTTGACCTTTGTAATATTTATATTCATCATTTCATGAATATGTTTTAGTGAAATAAAAGTTAAAAAAGATCTAAAAGCTTGTTTTAATGGTAAAACTTGGTAAAGGCTTCTCTATCATGTATTGGTAAGAGGTACAACAAAATGGGTATCACAAAATCAGCCATAGTAGTAGCTTGCAAGACAAGTGTAAGCTAATGTCTTTATTTCAACAGGCCAAATAAACAAGACCCAAACATTCTATTCTTACAAACATAGCCAGGTATATTGTTTGCCCAGATCAGTTACTCCTCATCATCGTCGTCTTCATCATCTCCATACTCCATCAGCTTTATCAAAGTATCTGCAACATCAGGGCGTGATTACATAAGTCTGATGCTAGGTTATGGTTAAATTAAATCACAAGAACCGAGTGGGTTGATTCTAGTCTTATACCTGGAACTGGATTTGGTTTCTTTATAGTAATTTGGTCGTCCTGTAATCTTGGAGCTTGAGGTTGTTTTGATGGTGTAAATTGCGGTGGTGGAGGAGGCATGGCTCTTGATGATGGAGGAGACACAGCCCTAGGAGGTGGTGGTGGGATGGTCTTTGGTGGAGGAGGAGGCATCATGGATCGTGGTGAAGGCAGTGATCGCACTTCATTTGCTGTTGCCTCAACTGTACTCTTTAGAGCAACTTCACCTGCCACTGCTAACTCTGACTGCTACAACAAATGATAGGAATGTTACATTGTCATTTACACTACAACAGTTAGATAATTGTATTGGCTGATAAATAGGTGATCATGCAAAATTACAAAAGAGATTGTATTCCTTAAAAGCATAGATAGTAAAGCTTGCTTTCAAATCCAGGACAAAGATGTCCCCTAAAGGTAAACCTTTACCAGCTCATTATTCAGGACCAAAGTGAACTAAAATAACATCTTCCATCAGATAAGCTCTCCTTAAAGACACAAGTTAAAAATCATACGATGTAGCTGGTTCCAAAGACTGCCTAAGATATGTATATACTGGTAAGTTTCATGTTCATTTTCTCAAACTTTATGTGCCAAGAAGCACTAATTGGAGATTAAAAAATTAAATCAACCCATAACTCTATGAAGGATGAGCATATTCTACCATAGCTACAAGCCTAATGCCAACCTAAATGCAAGGTACTCAAGGTACATGGGATTATGCAAAAAAAAAGCCTGCACGTAATCAGGGAAACATGGCACGACTTTTGAAGGACGTTTTATATAAGGTTCTGATTCTGATCGCCAAAAGCAAGAATGACTGCAAACACGTGGTGCCTCCAATATCAAGAATACCCTGTGAAACATTCAAACCAAAGGCCCACGGGTCCAGAATCAGCTAGTTAGCTTCTTAGAAGTTCAGAAAAATACCTGGAATAGTAAGGAAAAAAATCAGCATAGGATAAATTATTACACTAAAACTAATAAAATGCATTAGAAACCATGGACTTTCATGATCCGAATCAGATTCCATGACAATCGTAATCACGTTTTATGAAATGCTGATGAAGATACGTGCTACACTTCATACTACTTAACCTTTAAACTACCAGAAAACAATATTTTAAACCCACCCAAAATATCTAAACCATCTTCCCATGTAAAACACTTACCTGATCTGTTCACTGTTAAGTGTTAACTAATGGTTATTGCTTACAAGTACCCAACACTTGCAAACACAAGGTGACTTAGTTATGGAAGATACCATGGGCATCGACCCATACGCTTCTCTCTAAAACCATTGCCATTCCAGAAAAAGTTATGTTACCTCTTTGGATTTTGCCGGGACTTTACAATCGGCAGGTAGCTCCTGAAACTTTCGCTTTTGGGGTGGACGCCTTTCCTTTTCCTTACTTGAAAGATCACTTGGCATTGATAAGGACGCAGCTGTCAACAAAGTAGGGGGCACAGTGGAGATAACTGGAGAAACAGATTGCTGAAGGACTTGAGCAACTTGTTGAAGTGGAGTGGCTTGAGGGTATATTCCGGCATACCCACTGTAGCTAGTTCCAGCAGCCACAGGTTGTAGGTAACTGACTGGACTCGGTCGCAAGTGCCCACCATTTGAGATCCCTAGAGGCTGCAACACTGGAAACTGAGGATAAAGAGTTGTTGCTGGAGGAACTGGAAAGGGATTAACAGCATTTGGCGCTGGTATGATAGGTGGCGATGTCATTAAACCATATGCTGAACTCAAATTTGGCTTTTGCGCGTTTTCAGAACTCAAAGCTCCAGCAAGCAGTTGCTGTGGTGGTGGTACAGCACCATACACCTTGCTTGAGGAAACCCTACAAGTTTTTGTAAGACAACCATATAAAACTAAGAGTAGTGATGAAAACAGGGAGAAAGCCTATTATCTATGGCAACATTTTGAAGATATTCTGGAAGATAAAATGAACCTTGAAGCCCCGAATTCTACACTGATTGTATCCATGAGATTCTCAGCTAAACGTTTTGCATCCTCAATGCTCTTAGGATTGGTGCTAGACAATAATAGATGCAATGGTTGCTGTGCTCCTGCAATAATACGTAAAAAACAGGAAGGTGCATTACATTACTAATGTGGCCCAGATGTTACCTTCAAGTTGACAAAGGCAAACACAAATGAGGCAAAAATTACCTTCACTAGGTAGGTTCTCAAGGCTCCCTGAACCACGCCCTCTTAGTACAACGGTTGCTCCTGTTTCATTCATAATGTGATTTATATACTGATCCTGCATGTACGAAAGGCAACCACCAAAACACAAAAAAACGTTCTCTCCCGGTTGCACGGAGATGTCGGAGAGAGCTTCAACATTAGAACCTCTCGATTTCATGAAGTGACAAAAAATAATGCAAAAGTAAAACAAAGATCATAACCTAGACCAATAGACAAGTACTTCTACTGATTATATTATACAGTTTTAAGTTATAAAATAAGGAAAGGTGCTGAACTATCTTATATCAGACTGTAGATTCAGTTCTTCTGACGTGAATTAGAAATAACAAAGGGTAAGAGATTGTAAGAAGACTGACGTTAGGCCCACGAATACGAGCAGCAACATTGGATGATGGGTCAGCTTCAAAACCCAAATAAACGCATGTGTTCAGCATCTGCGAACATAGTTCAGTTTATTGCTGCCCTGAGTTTGTAAGTAAAAAAAAAAAAAAGAAGTGTCACACTACACTATCTACCTTGACCGTCTGAGAACCAACCAACCCGACCTGTGAGTTTGTTTTCTGTTTCATCATCTCCTCAATCATAGCTGCTGCCCGATCAACTGCTAAAATTCGCTCTGTAGTCTCTTTTAACTGCAGTTGTGATGACAAACATAAAAAAAACAGGTCAAATTCTCAAAGCTCAGAGGTCATGTAAAGCTTCTTAGAATACGGTAATAGAGAGGTCTTTGGAGCCATAAACATTTTACTATGCATGGCATTTATCATATTAACATCTCGACCACCATATATACACCACTATTAGTATTACCAATAACTCTCCAATAAAAAAGAAAACAGAAGCAACTTTTGTAACACAGTAAAGCACTAATAATCATGTCCTTTCAAGTCCCTAAGACTAGTCTTCTGTTACGTTAAAAAGGATAACATACATGGGCAGCAGCAGATATGTGAAGATATAATGGCTTTTCACCATCAGGAAGTGCATTGGGAGGACGATATTTGCCCCTACAAGAACAAAATTCATCAATCCAATACAGAAAAGATTTATTGTAGAAAATAAATTCTCTGTGCGTTAGATGTTGAACAAACCTAGTAATCACCACAGCACCAGTAGACCTCTGAATCTGCAAGACGAATAGACACTGAAAACACGAAAAGGAACAATCGTATCTTTCTATTATGCACAGAAAACCACGGATACTTACATCTTCTTGAGTAGAGCGTTTAGTAAGCTTGTGCCTAAGAGAAGCCTCAGCATCATTAATAACGATTTCTCTAGCTATTGTCAACTCATCCTAGATGGACATGCCACAATAAAAAAATACAATGAATCACCATGTTTGAATTACAGGATAAAAGAAAGAGAAATAAAAAAAAAACTCGTTCAGCACACATGCAATGATGTTAAAGTCACATACAAAGTGGATCATATTTGAGGAGCTTGTGGAATCACATACATTTAACAAATAAAACTGTACCAACCACATAGTCAAACTAATAATAACGAGAAAAAAAAACTACCTATAACCAGGACATAATTCAAATAAACAACGTGAATAAACTCAGAGAAGAGTGCAGTCCTGTAACGAATCTATAAACCAGAAAACCAAATTACCAAAGACATGATTGAAAATAAACAAACCTGAGTAACATATCATCTTATGCAAATAGCTACCGTTCAGAGAAAGAGTTTGAGCTCTAAAATAGTCATTGTTCTTTAAAATTCGGTCTAAACTAAACAATAATCCTCTCTATAAGACACCTAACTAAACCTCCTAACGATTTCTTGAACATTGAAAAGAGAGAGTGGAATTACTTGAATGAGTTTAGGAAGTGGTTGAGGAGGCAGAGTTTGAACATTGAGAGCATTGGCTAATCGAGGAATCACAACTCCAGCTGCAACAAGCTGCTCTGCTGGCTGATCCCACTTTCTCTTTCTCCTGCAAAAATTATTATACAAATCCGAATTAAAAAAAAAATTAAAAACTCATTGATTTTACGAAAATTGCATCAGATGAAATTGGAATTGGTTTTGAAAGAGGGAAAAAGATGTAACCTTTGTCTCGTTTGAGAAGCATCGTTGGATGTAGAAACCCTAGCCTCGTCTCCGTTGTCTGCCATCTTCTCCAATACAAGAAAAGTTGGAATCTTTACGATTTCACGGCAACGAAGAAGAGCAATAATCAGATTAAACGAAGCCCCACTAATCGCAGAATGGTTATATAAATCGGACGGTCTATAATTTTCCTTTTTCTTTGGGTTTTACAAAAAGGAGTTGAAACTTGGGGGATCTTATTATAAAATTTTGCAGCTTCGGTTAAAATTGAGTTTAATTTGATAGATAAGAAAAAGAAAAAAAAAAAAAAACTCCAAGCCTTGAACCATGAATGATATTTGTGGTTAGGGCTGGTTGTGGTGTCTTAGATATGTGAGTATGTGACCATATGGGTTTTGGGAATCTCTGAGAAGCAAAACATGAACACAACACCAAGTATGACGGTGACAGCTAAGATGGATATAGATGAATAATACCATAAATTTTAAATATTTGTAATTTGTTACTTATTTTATGGATATCTTAAATAAATTTTGGATATTTAAGAACTAATACATATTTGTTTTCTAAAACTATCTTTAACATAACATATAAAAAAAAATAGTGAAGATTATATGTTCCATAAATTAAGAAAAAGTTAATCAATTTTTGTAAGAAAACGTAATTTTAGAAAAAAATGTATTGTTTATAATGATTTGATATTCTTTTCTTAGTTAATACATGTATAAGTAATTTTATAAATAATTAATAAAAATATATGTTAAAATAATAAATATATCAAATTATACATTTAGCATCTATATTTATTATATATATACATCTATTTGTATAAAAGTCGAAGCGGATCGGATATCTGACTCTAATTTTTTAGCATTTGTTTTGTTTTTAAAGGATATTAAATTTTAATATTTGTTTTGCTTCGTTGACTTACGGATATTCTGATTTTTCGGATCGAATCAAAACAAATAACGAATCAAATCAAATTTAACCGATAAAATACCCAATCCTAGAGTTAGAGACTAAGCATACGTAAAAACTTAATATTTTAATGTGAATGATTAAACCGTTTAATTTTCTTTTCTAAAAAAATCAACTAATATAAAAATATGGCTAATAGATATCTCATGAGTATGAGTAATGGAAAAATTAGAGGTGACAATTCGCAGTCTATCTCAACGGCAACACACAATCAAAAGAGATCATCGATATTATGGAAGACATCCGATTGATCTCCTCTGAGTTGCAAACATCTCTTTCTCGCATCTATCTCGTTCCGACAATCTTAGCGCAGATGGCTTAGCTAAGAGGGTTCTTCAATCCCATCTGTCTTCGTAGTAAAACTTTGTTTGAGCCTGTCTTTGAATTCATTCTCTATCTTTTATTAATGAAGTATTTCAGTGACACAAAAAAAGTGAAAATTCGCCAATAAAAAAACATTTTGATATTTTTTTTATTAAAAGTTTGTTTTTATTGGATAAATATTATATACATGCCAAAATATATAGTATTATTTTAAATAAAAGATGCATAATAAATCAATGTGACGGTGTGAATCTAGAAAAAGAAAAATTTCCTTTACTAATAGTAAACTTGTAAAACAAACATCAAAATCCTCCTAGGAAAAGGAGGTTTACATTGAGCCTTTTCTCATCCGTCACAATCTTCTATAAAAACAACTCCAACTTCTATCAATTCAAGTATCAATCCATCACACAACAACAACAAAACAATCACTAACCCTTAAACACCTGAGAGTAATCATGGACACTTGCTTGGACTGCAAGAGAGTCACCGAAACTGTGATCGACTTAAGAACCGGCGACACAATCTGCACAGAGTGTAGCCTCGTCCTCTCCGATCACTACATCGACGACAGCCAAGAATGGAGAACGTTCGCCAACGATGATAACTGTGACCGAGACCCTAACCGTGTCGGTGCAGCTACAAACCCTCTTCTCAAATCCGGAGGCATAGGCACCATCATCGATAAAAGCCACCTCCAAGAACAATGACTTGATAGTGACTCGAACACAGAACCTCGTGATCAGAAACTCTGAGGAGGATATGATCGTGAAAGCGTGCAAAGAAATCAAGAAGATGACGGATGGTCTAAACCTAGTTAGTGGCGTCGAGTTTAGGGCCTGCGAGATTGTCTCAAAGTTCAATGGTGACAATAGCAAGAGATTGAGTAGACGTAAACACTTAACCGCTGTGTGTGCGGCTGCTGTTTCAACGGCTTGTCGTGAGATGAATCTCTCGAGGACGTTGAAAGAGATCTCCACGGTGGCTCACGGTGTGAGTTTGAAAGATATAAACAAAGCGAGTATGGCTATAAGGCGTTTACTCGAGTCATCAGATCAAGGGGAGACAACTTCTTCTTCTTCTTCTTCTCCTTGTGCTGCTCCTCCTCAGGTGATTATCAAGACAGGAGAACTAGTTCGCAGGTTCTGCTCTAAAATAGACATAACTGAGAGAGAGACAAAGGCTATACGAGAAGCTGTTGAGATAGCTGATAATTTCGATATCAGGAGAAACCCTAAGTCGGTTCTTGCTACTATTATCTTCATGATCAGCCAGCTATCTAAGACCAAAAGGAATCCTATTCGAGGTAATTAAAACAATTCTTCTTTGGTTCCTTACTTTAAAAAAAAAAACTAGGTAACTTACGCTACAAGTTGTGGCTCGTTACTCATAATTCTTGTTTTTTTTTTTTTGTAGATATTGCGATGGCTACGGAAGTAGTGGAGAATACAATCAAGAGCTCAGCTAGGGATATGTACCCTTACGCATCGAAGATTATACCCAAATGGTATGCTTCTGAAGAAGAGGTCACGAGGTTAGGAGGTATCATAGGATCTTGGGATGCAGCACGAGATTAACATAATATGGAAAGCCTCTACTTGCGTTACAAGTTTTAGGATTTATCTTGTAGAAGTAGATAGTTAAAAACTATTATCTGATAATCTGATTAAAAGGTCTATGCGATCTCTTTTCTGCTATATATAACAAAAATGTATCTAGCTTAAAGTTGAATAAAAATGTTGATATCTTAACAAAACCTTTATCTTAACAATAAAATTTTAAAATTATAATACTTGTGTATGTTAACTTATAAAAAATAGAGGATAGTGAGTGTATCATTACTATTTCTCTTCCATAGGGCCAAACCTGCTAATAATTCATTCATCATTGTGGATTATTTTTGAAGTTCAACAAAAACTCAAGAAACTAAAATAATCTGAAAAAAGCAAGTAAAAGACAATCTAATAATTAAAAGTTTGATTTCGCTTCAAACGTTTGACCGAACCCCCAAGACTCAGACGCAACATCATAGAACGTCAAGATCCTACCATCACTGGTCTTCACCAAAAACGAGAGCCTTTGTCCAACCAAATCCACACCAGTATTCCAGTTCTGTCCCCAGTTCCTCTGCATAGAGATCCAACTACTCTTATGCCCTTTAATAGCCACGCTATTAACATCTCCCGCTCCACCAACGTTATACACCAAAACCATAATGAAATTAGGGTTTCCCTTAATCTCAAACCTCACACCACCACTCTTCTGGCACTTGACTCTCCTGAACTTCACAGGAACGATCCCACTTCTGTACTCGGCGATGGAAGTGAACATCTTCATGGAGAGATCAAAGTGCTTGTTAGGAGGGTTGCACCAGTGGATATCGACCGGTGGGGTGTAGTTGGGTGGGCAGAAGTTGGTAGCTGTGATTATGATCGGACCGGTGTTTGGTATGCACCATTGTGAGTTCACACACGTGATCTCAAAACAAGCACCGCATGTCTGGCCGTTGTTAAAGAGCGCCGTGCTTAGCGCCGCCGTTTCTAAGCCATAGCCTTGTTGGAATAGGTCTCCATAACCACATGCTCCTTCTGTCACACAAAAACATTAAAAATATTAGATACGATTATACTATAAATTAAAAATCCAATGATTTACTAGATTTATAGTCTACATATATATTACTAACAATAGATACTTATATTGAAGTTAAAAAAAGATATATAGTACTAATCAGTAATGATATAAAGATACTAACGCATGGTTTCTTTGCCGCTAATGTCGCCGTAAAACGTAGCGTGAGCATCTTCCCATGCAGCGTCAGCCACAGAGACAAGAATCGCCAGTAACAAGACAAAAGACATTGATCGATTCATGGTTGTTTCTGTATTTTATTTTCTCCGACTTGATTTACAATAATACTGTGAATGAAGAATGATTATTTATAGAAGAATATGAAACGTTAATGTGATCGTTTAAGGGAATTAATTATGGGAATTAGCTGAAATTTGGACAAGATTGCAGAATATTAGAGTCCGGGCATTAACTTTTTTTTTGTCAACAAGTCATTAACTATTAAATATCAAATTAGGAAAGACGTCTTAAAACCGTGTCTGCACATTCAATACTGAATATTGTTATTTCCTTGCTGAGTATGTGATGCTGGGTACGTTTCTTATCAAATATGGAATGTTTAACATTTTAGATATGTTAATTTGCTTATACTCATAAATTTTTTCTTTTTGAAAAATGGTAAATGGTAACCCTATAATAGCATTAGTGGGATAAAAAGCAATAAATGAATTACATGAAGAAAAATGGAAGCTATACTATTAAAAAAGAAACATTCTCAAAAAACCTACTTACATGGGCCTATTAAACCTATTCATTTTTAGCCTAACTTTTTATATACAACCAAAATGCATAACTTATATTACCCTTCCACGGCATAATTTTCAATACCCACCGGTTTATATCAACCAAAATTTAAGTATAAACAATTACTTTTATCAAACCTATGCTATTGATATTTCATACACACATTCTATCAAACGAGATCAAATGTTCCAATACAAAAGGGCAGTACCAGCCCTGAGGGGAAGCATTACAAGCAACCGCTTCCGGCCCTCAAAAAATACTTAAAAAATTCAGCCTTTTTATAAAAAAATTATTATTATAATATATAAACATTCTTATAAAAATGGCCAATTTTAAAAAAATTGCTTCTGGTCTTTCCCATGTCAGGACCGGTACTGAAAAGGGTCATGTGTCCATCATATCTGTCTCATCCTTCTCCATCAGAGCATCAAATTCTTTGCAGAGAGACATCAATGTGATGTTTAATATATTTTTTTGATCAAACGTTTTTTCGATACACACATGTTATTCAATGAGATAAAATGATTTGCATGAATAAAACCATTCATCTCTTCCATCAGAGCATCAAGTTCTTAACATAGATGCATCGATCAGTGTCCAATTTAATATATCAAAACAATTTTATACATTCATTTCTTTATCATCTTATTTGATTCATATTAAAAACCTAATTATAAGAATTAAGATTGTGTTTTTGGTCACATTTGTTGAATTAAAAATACAAAACCAAACCCTATAACAGAAATAATAAACAAAATATTTTATACTTTAATATTGAGTTTTTTTTGGAATCTTAAATATATGCACGTATTTAGATTGTGTATTATACAAAATAATTGATGTTGATATATAGAAAACATAATCTAAATATTTTTTTAAGATCTCTTATTAGTAACAACCAAAAATTTACCCTAATTTTCGATGGCCTATACCATCTCAACCCTAATATCTATACTATTATTTAAGAAGTAAATTTGCTTAGTTGTCATATTCTCCTTAAGTTTAGGTAATTTTGTTTATTTCTCAAATTTTAATATTTATCTATAATTTATTTATAAATACAACGAATTTATATGAATATATCATATTTTTAGAAAATAAGATAATTCTTCTGAATTACGTTGTTATCTTGAAATATATTTTTATATTAATTATGATATAAAATTATCATATTTATTATATAACTAAAAAAATTATTTTAATAATTACATTTTTCTAAAATAAGATAATTCTTATGTATTATGTTGTTATCTTGAAAATATATTTTATTAGTACAAAATTTAAAGTTAACATGTAAATAATCTATAATACTATTTAACAAGTGAATTTGATGTTTGCTGATTTTCATATTTTCCATGATTTTAGGTAACTTTGATAATTTATCATAATTTCTATAATTTATTAAATATTTAAACAAAATTATATTAATATTATCAGATTTTTAGAAAATAAGATACTTCTTATACATTATGTTGTTGTCATGAAAATATATTTTTCTATTAGAAATTTAAAATTAAGATATATAAAGTTGTAGTTATTCTATAATTAAAATAGATTTACACTAATAATATTATACTTTTAGAAAATAAAGGTAAGATATATTGTTATCTTGAAAATATATTTCTGATGTTTGAGTTCTGTTATTTATAATTATTTGATGTTTGATTTGTATTTTTTAAAAACATAAGTAATAAGTTAATGAAACATCAGCTAATAAATATTCATAAGAGAATTATGCCCACAAGTGCGGGCAAAACACCTAGTTATAAATAAACTTTCATTCTTTTAAATTTATAAGATATATGAATAATTATGTATTATAGAAGAAATCATGGTTGATTCATAATAAAAAAACTTTAACAATAATAAAAATAATCAAGGTAGAATTTCATGTTTACCACTTTCATGGAACTATTACTTACCTTTACCACCACTAAGGGGATATTTTTAAAAATACATTTTTATTAAGTGGCGAAAGACTCATATACCATTGTTATTTATGTATATAATAAATAATTATTTTAATAAAAAAATAAAATAAAAAATATTTTTTTTGAAGTTTTCGAATTATACTTTTGAGATTCGCAATTTTTTATAAATGTTTTTTTGAAATTTTTTTTAAACTATTTTTAAATTTTTTATTTTTATTTTAAGTATTTATATTAAAATTCTAAACCATACCCTCCAAAACCCACCCATCAAATCTAAACAAAAAGTTATAGGAATAGTTAACCCAATGGTTATAATTTTCTATGGGACAATTGCACAAATACCATTTTTGTGATACCACAATTTAACTTTACCACCACTTAAGGGACATTTTCATAAATACACAATTTATCAATGACAAAAATACAATATTATCCTTCCCTATCTTCTCTTCTGCTTAAATCAAAGCCGATCGACGGCGACATTGTCTCAGCCTCCCATGATAAATTCATCCTCCGACAGCCAATTTATCATCTCCAGAAGCTGGGACGGCGAGCTCCGCCTCTGGACCTGACCGCTGAGTCTCTACTCGCCGACAACGGCGTCCTTTAAGTCAATGGCGTAGCCGAGATAAAGAAAGAGAGAGGGATGAGATTAGGGGAGGGTCGAGAGATAGAGAGAGGGAGAGGAGACGAGAAAGAGAGAGGAGTAACAAAGAGAGGGAGAGGAGCGATAGGGAGAAGAGCAGAGATAGAGAGAGGAGAGAGAGGGAGAAGGATAGGGAGAGTAGGGAGAGGGAGAGGGAGAGGAGAAGCAGAGTAGGTCACAGAGGGAAGAGAGGGAATCGTGAAGTAGTTGATATAGGAAGTTTAGATTCTGTTCCTTTCTTTATGTAGTTTAGGATCAATCACCAATACGTATCAGCTCCTGAGAAAAGGTTGAGTGAAAGAAGAGAATATTGTAGTGTTCATGTTTGATGACATCGCAAAGAACAAAGAGTATTAGCAGTATGGGCTCAGTTTGTGATGTCAAGGCCCATGACAATGAAGCTCAACTCAAGCCCACTCCCAAGGTTCCTGCAACGGTCAAAACTAAAGATGCAGAAAAGACAAAGGAGTCAAGTGTGGCTAGGAGTACGGTCAAGCCAGCTCATGCGTTTGTTATGGAGAACAGATTTGGCTGTCTAAGGGAGTGTGNAGGCCCATGACAATGAAGCTCAACTCAAGCCCACTCCCAAGGTTCCTGCAACGGTCAAAACTAAAGATGCAGAAAA